TTTTTTTTTTTTTTCAGTATTTGAATTTCAGAGTATTCATTTATAATTTTGTCACTTATCTTAAATGTGTAAATTAAAGTGCTTTCATTGAAAATTCTAACATTAATTTATATTTTTGAAAGAATTTTTATTATGTTTCTTGATTTAAAATGAAGAAAAACATGTTTTATCTGAAACAATAAAATATAAGAAAGAATTCATTTCATTTTGATATGTTACATATATGATTTAATACTTCCATCAACATGGAAATGGCACTTTTTAATATAAACATAATTCAAAATTTTTTATCTGTTTCTCTGGTTCCTGGAAGCTTAAAATTGAATTGTTTAAAGTGTTTTGTATGGACAAATTCTCTACAATTCCTTGTTTTTTAAAGATAGACTTTTTAAGAATTCAAATATCTATAAACAGGATTAATCAAAAGGCCCTTGCATTCTTAATTTCAAAAGTACTGAAAATATATTAAGTTTGTTAATGTATTTATCATACATAGGAAGTTATGTATGGGGAATCACAAGGGACATTTTTTGCTGACATTGAAAATCATTTTTAATGTCATCAAAAATATTGTAAAAAAACTGTTGTAAGAAGAAAAAAAAAAAATACAAAGGTCATAGCTCTCTCATATTTTCTAGTTTGCTGTGTCAATTTTTTTACTTAAAAATGATCAGTTTTTCATATTTAAGTCAAAAATTATAAAATGTAAACTATTTTACTTTTTTGTGATTTTTCTGGTAATGTACTTGACATCTCTTTTGATTATACTATTTTGTTTTTCTGTAAAAAACCTGTTTCTACAATGGTGTCTAAATCAAAGTAACAAACACAAAATTTGATTAAAATCAACACCATGAAATGTGATCAGCTGAAACTTACATTGTATGTAAATCAGCAAAGTGTCAACTGTGATAAGCTAACACTTTGCAAGACACATGTGATAACGTGTCTTGCAAATGAGACATGACATCAATGCAAAATGTAACAAAATTTAATGCACTGTATATACAGCAAAGTCGTTTCTGATAAATAGTTGTCTACTAGGATTGCTAAGAGTGAGGAAGTTTTCCTGATACATCAGTAGCTTCTCAGGCATGTCTCAAAGAAGGCATTTGATGATTTGTTGCAATGGAGGACTGTTCAGTTTTGCATTTTTTCTATGTACATTTGTGTATTTTACTTTAATTTTGGACACAAGTGTATTGAAACATTTAATATCAGTAAGTGAATCTAAATTAGATATCTTTTACCCCAATTTATTATTTATTAAGATATTTATATTCACATGTATTCAGTCAAATAACTGTCATTTTTTTTAAATAGAAACAAATTATGACTTTAATACAAAGTTTATGCAAAACTTCATCTTCACTTCAACGAGTTGATGTGATTACTTTAAGTACCATGTTAAAATCAGCAAAAGTACCAGCAGTTTTTACTATGAAGAGCTCTGAATTATTAGGTAAATTTTTTTCTCTAATAGAATGTAATTCTAATTTTATTAAATTGTGAAAGTTGTTATTTGGATAGTAATACAAAAATAATAATTTTAATTATAGATTTAATTGTTCCTATTTGGTATTTTCAATTACAGATTAAATTGTAATAACATAAAATATATAAAATGATAAATTTTTAATTTTACTGCATTTGACAAATTATTTTATATTAAATTTTTGTATTTGAAAAAAGTTATTTTCTGTAACAGAAAGAGGGAACTGAAAAAGGTAATGAAATGTTAAATATTTAAAATTTATATAAATAAAATTTACCGAAGCTACAACATTGTCTGTGTTTCGTTGTTACAAACATCAGTGACAATCCAAAAACAATTTTCTGTTAATTAAATATTTAAAGGTATTGCTTTTTATAACATTTTTTAAGTTAAAAAGAGTTTAACAAATGTTTTACTTAGGTTCCAAATACCAAATTACATAGTCACTCAAGTACTTTTGAAAAAAACAAACACTGCCTTTGAGAATCATAAAATATCTAAATCACAAATAGAAAAAGTTCACAGAAGTCCAAGTGCACTATAATTTCATTATCAATAATATTTGTATTTGAAAATTAGATTTGTTGTACTAGATAATCTTTCTAAATTCTTCTCCAACTGCACTTAACTGATACTCAAACCGCGACACAAAAACCTTTAAAATGCAGCCTTTTTATTCAAATTTTTGAACGTTTTTGGCCAGTTTGAATAGCCTTCATCAGGAACAGAAGAATCAAATGATTCTGAATTTCTATAACGACATTTGTTCTGAAACTTTTTAAATTTTTGAATTTTCTTAATGTCTAGTGTGCATGCTCGTGCATAAATAATTACAATCTACAGGGTGTTTATAATTAAAGTTCCACTTTGAAATGGCCATAAAATGAAAACTACTGGATAGAATGTTATCAAACTTGGTAATAGCGTACAGGACATCATGGGATTTTATTTCCTGTGAAAAAAGTTCAAAAACTCACCTCCAACAGGAAATGGCGCTGTCTGCATTATTGTTAAACAAAATAAGACATGAAGACGTTGAAAATGTTTTTAATCGGTTTTAAAACCGCGTTACAGAGCATGTTTAATGTGGTGTCCACCATTTTTGATAAGCAAGTTACATTGCATTACTGTGTTCTCAACAGTAGCTCTTAGCATATCAGGGGAAATTTAACTTACTTTCAGAAAATGATGGACAGCACATTAAACATGCTTTATAACACATTTTAGAAACAATTAAAAACATTTTCAACAATGTCTTCCTGTCTTATTTTGTTTAACAATATTGCGGACAGCGCCATTTCCCGTTGGTGGTTAGTTTTTGAACTTTTTTTTGCGGGAAATAAAATCCCATGATGTCGTGTATGCTTTAACCAAGTTTGATAACATTCTGGCCAGTAGTTTTCATTTTATGGCCATTTCAAAGTGGAACTTTAATTATAAACACCCTATAGAATAATCAAATTAAGCCCATTCTCCAAGCTGTTGCAACTTTACTGGACTCTCTTTATTGCTAATCCTTCCTGGTTTCTTATGTATCTACCATGTTCTTCATATTTCAAGTGTTTCTTATCCTGGATCTTTTGTATTATTTTAGCTCTTTCTCAATCCACCCTGACTTCTGTCGGATCTGCTATAACATACATTGCTAGTGCAGTGACTAGTTGCTCATTCTGCACATTCCTTTTATGCTCTTTTAGCCTTTCTTTTAATGGTCTCCCTGTGGCTCTGATGTAGTATAGTTCTTTTTGTTGCCTTTTGTCTTGTACTGGTATTCTATATATTTCTGTAATCAAGCTCTGATCTATGTCTTCCTTGTCTGTTCAAAGCATTTGACATACTGTGGGATTCCTTTTAAAAATTATCTTTTTGCTTGTTGCTGCTCCTATTTCTTTGTAAATACCACTTAGAGGTGCCATATATTCCATTACAGTGTATTCTTTTATTCTTTCTCACTCAATACTTTCGTTATCTTCTATTCTTGTTTTGTTAATAAGGGCCTTTATTATGTTCTGGTAGATATCGCACTGCCTATCTGGTTCTTTGATGTGATCTAATTCTTTAATTCTGTCTTGTGGTTTGCTGCAGCGCATGAGTACTCTTTTTATAAGTGCCCGGAATGCTGCTATTTTATATCTTGTCAGGTCATGGGAGTTCCATGGTATAAACAGTGGGTTATACGTCACCTTTCTGTAAACTTTTGTAGCGATTTCCCCTCCTTTCTCTACTTCTATTGCTACATCTAGAAAATGTATGCTCTTGTCATTCTCTTGCTCTAGTTCAAGTTCTAGGCCGAACTTGTTGGAATTGACATTTTTGATAAATTGTTGAATGTCTGGTTTTTCTTTCCATATAATCAAGACATCGTCAACATAGCGTGCATATACTAAAATGTGTACTGTGTATTTCAGTAAGATTGCTTTCTCTACAGTCCTTAGAACCATCTTGCATACATCCCCTGAAATGGGACTTTCCATTGCCACTCCTCTATGTTGTGTGTATGCTATTCCATTAAAGTTAAAGATTGATGACTATGTAGCAAGATGTGTTAGTTTTAGTGTTTGTTTTTTCATATTTACCACGAGATGGTAACGATAATTGTATGAAGAACATGGCAGATACATAAGAAACCAGGAAGGATTAGCAATAAACTTCAGAGAGTCCAGTAAAGTCTCAACAGCTTGGAGAGTGGGCTTAATTTGATTATTCTATTATAAAATAAAGGGACGAGCCGTTAAGGAANTCAAAAACGTAAAATATTTGAGTAGCCCAAGACATAGCCAAAGATTGCAGCACCACAGCACTAGCGAAAATTTAAATTTGCCAACTGGAATTCTTTCGGATAAACGATGCTCTACTGGAATTTGAAATTTTATGTAATGCTTTAGGTAAATTGTATTTAATTTAAAATTCAATAAATTTAACATATGATTAAATTAACATTTTAAATTAAGCCAATTAATTAGTTTATTATTATTTTTTGTTCAGTCATTTTCATTTTATTTTCTTAATTTATTTTCAGCCAACAGGCTATTCTTCATCATGAAGAAGAATATAGCAATTTTTTTGCACCTTATGTTGCACTTTGCGCTCATTATATTATTAATAATGCTTCTTACAGTAAGTAAAACTATTTTATTATTATATTTTTTACTTCTTTCAATTAATTATAACTTTTCAATAAATGTTTTGAAATATGTTAGAAACAAATATATTTTTTTTCCTGTTTGTTACTGTATTTTCTCAGAAATTCTAGTTATTCTGAAAACAATATTTTTAGAATTTCAATTTTTTACAGTTAATGTAAATTAGTTTTATAAAATTAAAATGTAAAGTATTAAAGATTTAGTTTCGAACATGTTAGTTATATAAGAACTTAACTTAAAATATTTTCTTTAAATAAAATCTGAATTTCTGAGAAAATAGCCTGATTTTGATACTGATGATTTCTATAGGTTATCTATTGAATGCAACTTAATTTCATATTTATACTAACTATAAAAACATAAGTAATTTATATTAAGAATTTTACAGGGGTTATTCAATAAGTAATGCCTCTATTTTTATATAAAGTTCTGTAAGATATCAAACTGAAACCAAAACAAGAAGAGTATTTTTAATTTCATTAACACACTTTATTTCTTTATGAAGTCCCTTCATGTTTGCCAATGTTCTTGGAACCATTTCCTTGTGGTGGCTTGAATATTTTATTAGCAGGTGAAAAGACTTCCTTTGAAATATCTCTTGAGTAGGAAGCAACCAAAAATGTGTGCGTGCCAAATCTGGCTGTAAGGAGGATGATCAAGAACTTCAAACCAGAGTTTCTGTATGGCTTCTGATGTGAAAGCACTAGTATGGGGGTCTACTGTCATATTGCAGAATAGTTGGCTTTGTCACAGTGTCAGCACCATAAACTGCCAATAATCTTGCATGAATTTCTTTGGGAGAAAGATTTTAATTAGTAGAAAACTCTATATTTGATCATTATCTAACACATGCTGACATAGTTGAAAAGATATCATCCATTTTAAATATAATTAAATTTGAACTAAAACATTGTGTTCTACTATGCATTAAAATGTAGCTAATGAAGCAAAGAGTCATTTGCTGCTTAACTCCTTGTTAGGTAACAACTCCTGCTTGAAATAATTGCATGGAGGCATTACTTATTGAGTGGACTATGTATTTTTGTACTGATGCAAATTATGGCATTTTACCCTCTAAATTATAAACACAGAATTACAGAATTCATTACAGAATGAAATCTTCCAGAAAAGAATTACATTGACTCAAATTTAAAATAAAATGCCAAGATGTAATTTTTCAAATTTATTCATTTTCCTAATGTAATTATCATGATAAAACTTTAATCAAATTTACATCTAAATAAGCTAGGTTTTTTTGAATTGGAGATATACTGTTGTTTTTGAATAGTTCCTACATGAATTGTTTATACTAAAAGTTTAAAATTTTAAGACCTGCAAATGTTGAGGCAGTTCAAATCAGATTAAATCAGTAACCATCAGTGAAAAAGTTGTGTTTGTTGCATCTACTAATATAACACAAAAGAACATAACAGATTTAATATTGTACTGTAAAGGCTAATATATTTAGTAGCTTATGTTCTCAAGATTTTGTATGGTTGATATGTCAAATCTGTTTATTGGATTATTTGTCACTGGATTATTTTAATACTTATTTAATATTCCAAAAAAGTAATTTACTAGATTTCAAAACTTAATTCATTTATAAAATATATAATATTTCTAAAACAAATCTAAATAATATTGGCAATAGATTGTTATTACTTATAACATCATCACAGACACTTCCAATATTTTATAAATGTCATCTTCAGACAAAGAAGAGAATATAATTTAGGAAGGAACATTAGAATAAAATTTTAACACTGATAGACAATGGCTATCTCATTCTTTCATTGGATAATATTTTGGTGTAGTGAACTAGTCATTTCTTTTATATATAAGTATATATTTTTTCTACTGTAAAAATCACTTTGTGATTATTTATTAATACATGCTATTGTATTATTTTATATTTAAAACAAGTGTTGTTATAAAAAAATAAAATAAAATTGTGCACGGAATTCATCCACTCTAATTGATAGATTTTATTTGTGTTTTGAAATGTAAATTCAAAAATTAATTAGTTAATAAAAATAATAATGATTAAGTAGTAGTAATATAAATTTGTTAGTGTTTTGGATAACATAAAGTATATTTCACAAATCAACGTTAGATAAAAATGATAATAAAATTTGCTTGTAAAACAGAAAAAAATATGATTTAACTGTTCAATGAATAGTCTCATTAATAATAATGAAGTTTGATTCAAGACAGTAAATAAGCAAATGATAAACTCATTGAATGGAATTATCTATAGGTAAAATCAAATGATGGAATGGATTCCATTCTATCCATTTTATTTTTGTAAAAATAAATTGAGTTAAGGAACAAGATTTTTCTTTTTTGGAAAAATAAAAGGTATGCATATGACCTGAAAATTATGTTATTTCAAATTATTTCAAAGTTCAATTTACAGATGCAAGAAGAGAATCACAGATTCAATGAATATCTTGATTCATCTTCCCATAGATGCATTTATACAGTTATCATTTTATGAAAATATATATATTAATTTTAAAATGTTTATTAATTTAATATGAAAAAATAAATAAATTTATTGTGTTTGTTAATATATATTTTAAATATTTTCTATTATTTAATTAAACCTATAATTTTTTTTCTAGTTTCAAAAAGTCAAATCATAAATGCTGCAGAAGCTTGTAAAATATTATTACATTATTTATTATATAAAGTTCAAAAATTTGAAGAACAAAGCTGTTTATTGCAGGTAAAAATCTATAATTTTTATTGTGATGATAACTAGAAATATTACATTTTAAAATATTCTTTAAATTATACAAAATTACCATTTACATCATTCAGATGAATATTGTTCCAAACCTTGAATTCAATATGGATGTTTAATTTGGTAAATGCTAAAGTTTGATGCATGCTTAAGAATGTGGCCAAAAAAGTTTGTTTATTAAATAGTTACTGCTAAAAAACATGTGGATGTTGTGATTTCAAATACATAAATTTCAGCTTACAAATTGGAAGAATTCTTTAAATTAATTTTTAAATTATAATTCATAAATCATTAATATTAAATTACATTACATTAATATTAAGTGAATTGAATGATAAAACTCTAAACATATTAAATACACTAGAACGTCGATTTTCCGAATCAATTGGGGACTGGGGTTGTTCGTATAACTGATATTTCGGATAACCGATTTATGTACAAAAAAATAGTTTAATGTATCCGATGTTAAAATTTTTATCCGTTGCGTGTCGCTTCGCGTTGAATTTTCATCGATGTTAAGCCTAACGAATACTATTGTATCGTTAAAAATTATTTTTTTATTTTGTACAAACAAAATAAATATATTAAAAAATATAAAACAATAAAAAATTATACTTCAGATGTTAATTTAGTTTCAAAAACGTAAAATATTTGAGTAGCCCAAGACATAGCCAAAGATTGAAGCGCTACAGCACTGGCGAAAATTTAAATTTGCCGACTGGAATTCTTTCGGATGATTGACTTTCGGAAAATCGACGCTCTACTGTAATAGTTATTTTATGTAATTTTTGTTTGTGAAAATGATTCTGAACAGAGAATTCTAGGCTTTTTTTTTTTTTTTTTCAGTATTTGAATTTCAGAGTATTCATTTATAATTTTGTCACTTATCTTAAATGTGTAAATTAAAGTGCTTTCATTGAAAATTCTAACATTAATTTATATTTTTGAAAGAATTTTTATTATGTTTCTTGATTTAAAATGAAGAAAAACATGTTTTATCTGAAACAATAAAATATAAGAAAGAATTCATTTCATTTTGATATGTTACATATATGATTTAATACTTCCATCAACATGGAAATGGCACTTTTTAATATAAACATAATTCAAAATTTTTTATCTGTTTCTCTGGTTCCTGGAAGCTTAAAATTGAATTGTTTAAAGTGTTTTGTATGGACAAATTCTCTACAATTCCTTGTTTTTTAAAGATAGACTTTTTAAGAATTCAAATATCTATAAACAGGATTAATCAAAAGGCCCTTGCATTCTTAATTTCAAAAGTACTGAAAATATATTAAGTTTGTTAATGTATTTATCATACATAGGAAGTTATGTATGGGGAATCACAAGGGACATTTTTTGCTGACATTGAAAATCATTTTTAATGTCATCAAAAATATTGTAAAAAAACTGTTGTAAGAAGAAAAAAAAAAAATACAAAGGTCATAGCTCTCTCATATTTTCTAGTTTGCTGTGTCAATTTTTTTACTTAAAAATGATCAGTTTTTCATATTTAAGTCAAAAATTATAAAATGTAAACTATTTTACTTTTTTGTGATTTTTCTGGTAATGTACTTGACATCTCTTTTGATTATACTATTTTGTTTTTCTGTAAAAAACCTGTTTCTACAATGGTGTCTAAATCAAAGTAACAAACACAAAATTTGATTAAAATCAACACCATGAAATGTGATCAGCTGAAACTTACATTGTATGTAAATCAGCAAAGTGTCAACTGTGATAAGCTAACACTTTGCAAGACACATGTGATAACGTGTCTTGCAAATGAGACATGACATCAATGCAAAATGTAACAAAATTTAATGCACTGTATATACAGCAAAGTCGTTTCTGATAAATAGTTGTCTACTAGGATTGCTAAGAGTGAGGAAGTTTTCCTGATACATCAGTAGCTTCTCAGGCATGTCTCAAAGAAGGCATTTGATGATTTGTTGCAATGGAGGACTGTTCAGTTTTGCATTTTTTCTATGTACATTTGTGTATTTTACTTTAATTTTGGACACAAGTGTATTGAAACATTTAATATCAGTAAGTGAATCTAAATTAGATATCTTTTACCCCAATTTATTATTTATTAAGATATTTATATTCACATGTATTCAGTCAAATAACTGTCATTTTTTTTAAATAGAAACAAATTATGACTTTAATACAAAGTTTATGCAAAACTTCATCTTCACTTCAACGAGTTGATGTGATTACTTTAAGTACCATGTTAAAATCAGCAAAAGTACCAGCAGTTTTTACTATGAAGAGCTCTGAATTATTAGGTAAATTTTTTTCTCTAATAGAATGTAATTCTAATTTTATTAAATTGTGAAAGTTGTTATTTGGATAGTAATACAAAAATAATAATTTTAATTATAGATTTAATTGTTCCTATTTGGTATTTTCAATTACAGATTAAATTGTAATAACATAAAATATATAAAATGATAAATTTTTAATTTTACTGCATTTGACAAATTATTTTATATTAAATTTTTGTATTTGAAAAAAGTTATTTTCTGTAACAGAAAGAGGGAACTGAAAAAGGTAATGAAATGTTAAATATTTAAAATTTATATAAATAAAATTTACCGAAGCTACAACATTGTCTGTGTTTCGTTGTTACAAACATCAGTGACAATCCAAAAACAATTTTCTGTTAATTAAATATTTAAAGGTATTGCTTTTTATAACATTTTTTAAGTTAAAAAGAGTTTAACAAATGTTTTACTTAGGTTCCAAATACCAAATTACATAGTCACTCAAGTACTTTTGAAAAAAACAAACACTGCCTTTGAGAATCATAAAATATCTAAATCACAAATAGAAAAAGTTCACAGAAGTCCAAGTGCACTATAATTTCATTATCAATAATATTTGTATTTGAAAATTAGATTTGTTGTACTAGATAATCTTTCTAAATTCTTCTCCAACTGCACTTAACTGATACTCAAACCGCGACACAAAAACCTTTAAAATGCAGCCTTTTTATTCAAATTTTTGAACGTTTTTGGCCAGTTTGAATAGCCTTCATCAGGAACAGAAGAATCAAATGATTCTGAATTTCTATAACGACATTTGTTCTGAAACTTTTTAAATTTTTGAATTTTCTTAATGTCTAGTGTGCATGCTCGTGCATAAATAATTACAATCTACAGGGTGTTTATAATTAAAGTTCCACTTTGAAATGGCCATAAAATGAAAACTACTGGATAGAATGTTATCAAACTTGGTAATAGCGTACAGGACATCATGGGATTTTATTTCCTGTGAAAAAAGTTCAAAAACTCACCTCCAACAGGAAATGGCGCTGTCTGCATTATTGTTAAACAAAATAAGACATGAAGACGTTGAAAATGTTTTTAATCGGTTTTAAAACCGCGTTACAGAGCATGTTTAATGTGGTGTCCACCATTTTTGATAAGCAAGTTACATTGCATTACTGTGTTCTCAACAGTAGCTCTTAGCATATCAGGGGAAATTTAACTTACTTTCAGAAAATGATGGACAGCACATTAAACATGCTTTATAACACATTTTAGAAACAATTAAAAACATTTTCAACAATGTCTTCCTGTCTTATTTTGTTTAACAATATTGCGGACAGCGCCATTTCCCGTTGGTGGTTAGTTTTTGAACTTTTTTTTGCGGGAAATAAAATCCCATGATGTCGTGTATGCTTTAACCAAGTTTGATAACATTCTGGCCAGTAGTTTTCATTTTATGGTCATTTCAAAGTGGAACTTTAATTATAAACACCCTATAGAATAATCAAATTAAGCCCATTCTCCAAGCTGTTGCAACTTTACTGGACTCTCTTTATTGCTAATCCTTCCTGGTTTCTTATGTATCTACCATGTTCTTCATATTTCAAGTGTTTCTTATCCTGGATCTTTTGTATTATTTTAGCTCTTTCTCAATCCACCCTGACTTCTGTCGGATCTGCTATAACATACATTGCTAGTGCAGTGACTAGTTGCTCATTCTGCACATTCCTTTTATGCTCTTTTAGCCTTTCTTTTAATGGTCTCCCTGTGGCTCTGATGTAGTATAGTTCTTTTTGTTGCCTTTTGTCTTGTACTGGTATTCTATATATTTCTGTAATCAAGCTCTGATCTATGTCTTCCTTGTCTGTTCAAAGCATTTGACATACTGTGGGATTCCTTTTAAAAATTATCTTTTTGCTTGTTGCTGCTCCTATTTCTTTGTAAATACCACTTAGAGGTGCCATATATTCCATTACAGTGTATTCTTTTATTCTTTCTCACTCAATACTTTCGTTATCTTCTATTCTTGTTTTGTTAATAAGGGCCTTTATTATGTTCTGGTAGATATCGCACTGCCTATCTGGTTCTTTGATGTGATCTAATTCTTTAATTCTGTCTTGTGGTTTGCTGCAGCGCATGAGTACTCTTTTTATAAGTGCCCGGAATGCTGCTATTTTATATCTTGTCAGGTCATGGGAGTTCCATGGTATAAACAGTGGGTTATACGTCACCTTTCTGTAAACTTTTGTAGCGATTTCCCCTCCTTTCTCTACTTCTATTGCTACATCTAGAAAATGTATGCTCTTGTCATTCTCTTGCTCTAGTTCAAGTTCTAGGCCGAACTTGTTGGAATTGACATTTTTGATAAATTGTTGAATGTCTGGTTTTTCTTTCCATATAATCAAGACATCGTCAACATAGCGTGCATATACTAAAATGTGTACTGTGTATTTCAGTAAGATTGCTTTCTCTACAGTCCTTAGAACCATCTTGCATACATCCCCTGAAATGGGACTTTCCATTGCCACTCCTCTATGTTGTGTGTATGCTATTCCATTAAAGTTAAAGATTGATGACTATGTAGCAAGATGTGTTAGTTTTAGTGTTTGTTTTTTCATATTTACCACGAGATGGTAACGATAATTGTATGAAGAACATGGCAGATACATAAGAAACCAGGAAGGATTAGCAATAAACTTCAGAGAGTCCAGTAAAGTCTCAACAGCTTGGAGAGTGGGCTTAATTTGATTATTCTATTATAAAATAAAGGGAGGAGCCGTTAAAGAAACAGGCACTATGCCTTTTCTATATTAGCAATTGTGTTATATAGTTTTGTATCTATTTATATATTTATTTTATTTATGTATTTATTTACTTATTTATTTTATTTTATTTAGTTACTTATTCATGTATTATATGTATGTATGTATAGTTTATGTGTATATTGGTACAAGTACCAATATAGATTGTAATTATTTATGCACGAGCCTGTGCACTAGACATTAAGAAAATTCAAAAATTTAAAAAGTTTCAGAACAAAGGTTATAGAAATTCAGAATCATTCGATTCTTTTGTTCCTGATTGAAGGTCATTGAAACTGGCCGAAAACGTTCGAAAATTTGAATAAAAAGGCTGCATTTTAAAGGTTTTTGTGTCTAGGTTTTAGTACTTTATTATTTAAGTATTAATAAACTAATTGTAAACTAAAATTAAAAAAAAACTCATTTTATACATATATTAAAATAAGGTAAAAAACAATGCTGAATTGAGCAATTATACTATCATAACAATTTTTAATGCATTCAAGCTGTTTGCTCTCTTGGTAATGAGCAAAGTAGTTCAAAGTTACTAAAATTGTTTTCATGGTATAATTCCACCATGGGCAAATGCGGCTCTTTTTGAGTTACATGCGGCTCTTGCTAAGTGTGTTAATTTCTGCTTTTTATTATTATTTTTACAATTTTATTTCCACAATTTTGTGAAAATATGTTTATTAAAAAAATTCAATATTTGTTATATGTAATATTTATATTATATAATAAAATCGCGGTACAGAACTGCAGTACAGAATAAAAAAGTACAGAACTGTAGCTCCCATGCATTTTGCAAAACCTACATTTTGGCTTCCACTGATTTCTTTCTTGCTCATCGTTAGTATAATTGCTTCATTAAAGCATTGTTTTCTTATCTTACTAAAAGTAAGTTTTAAAAAAATGCCTAGCTAGATGTGCATAATTTAAATTTAACTTCTTAGTATTCTTTAAACAGTAAGTAGCTCTCATTTTTGAAACCAATTTCTCTCACAATAACTAAAGATTGAAAATCATCTTTTCTTAAAATATCTTTAAGGAATTTTATTTAATGGTACAGTTTCAGTTTAGTGACATTTAAATATAGAGTTTTAAGACCATAAGCTTAGATTCTGTAAATCTATAAATATAAATCTTTTATAGACATATAACCATTTACTTTTCTGGATTTTTAAAAATTTTCAACATGTAACTGGAAACATGCACTGTTATTTGACAACTATTATATTTTTGATAATTGCATAAAAATTTTTTTTACCTTGTTATATATTATACTGGTCTATTGGTTAATAGATCTGTATTATTAAACATTGTACTATTTCTCAAAAAAATTATTGATTTTTATTTTACTTCCTATTGTAATTTTATATAATTTTTTTTCTGTTTGTATGAAATTGTGTGTGTTATCATTTTTTTCTATAAATATAATAAATAAAATATTTCTTACTATTTGTTTTGAGTCAGATTAATTTAGATTTTTATGCTAATTTAATTTTCATGTTTTTATTCACAGAAGGAAGAGATGATACAAAAGAAGCCAAAAGACCACGTTTAGATTTAAGTTCTTCTATTTTGGAACAACTAATGATGCCTGTATTAGATGCATCTGGTATTCATAAACAAGAAGCTCCAATAGAAACTACAAATAAAGATGGTGATACAACTATTGTACATATACCTGATCCAGGAATTGAAGTAAAGGTAATAAAGATAATTTCTTCAAAGATTTTTATATTATTGTGTTGGACTGTATCCTACATGGCATATATACTAGTGCCTAGTGCTATGACAGACAAAAGTCAATGCATAACTACAGAAAACACATGCTTTCTTTGTGCTGTTTTGTAGGGTATCTATATTTAGGAATTTCCTGACTATGTGGCATGTGTTTAGTGTAGCAGCCTTTTGTTGTGTGATATATGGGTTGTTATGAAGACATGATATTTTGATATTTTTGTGTAATGTATGTGGTATGATGCCAGTGCAAGAAAGGACTACTGGCACAATTAGTACCTCATCCATTCTCCGCAAATACTTTATTTTATGGGTGAGTTTTGAGTGTGTATTCATTTTTTCAGCATATATATTTTGTATGCTATGAGTGTTTGGAACAGCTATGTATATGATTTAGTTTTGTTTGTCAATGAATGTAATGTCTGGTCTGTTGTGACATATTGTTTTGTCTGAGATTACAGTTTGGTGAAAGTATATTTTCTGTTTTTTTTCTATGAATGTCTGAGATGTGTATCTGTAGTATTGTTCTGGGTATATAGTTGCTTGTGTTTGTGACCAAGCTTTTGATGTATTATATTTGTTATTTGGTTATGTTAATTAAGAGGTCAGTTTATGCCAAAAGCGTGCAATCTGATAGGATGTGTTATATAAACACATCATATCAAGTTGTGCATGATGTGGCATTTCTTACAAGTGTTGTCTATGAATATTGTCTTTTAAAATATGCTCTCTGTAGTTTCTTGTATTTATGACCTGGTCTTGTAAGGCAGTCACAAACTCTTCCAGTTCTCCAAAGAGAAGTGCCCATGAATCAACCAGCAATTGTATTTAGTTCTGTCAATGTAATTCTGATTGATACCATTAGGGTATCCATTATGAAGTTCTTTTTGAACCCATGAATATCTGTGCATTTTGTGTACTGTGTTAGATTCAAGTCAGTGTTGTGTGAGTATAATGATGTAGTAGTGTACTGCTTCTGTCTGCAAAAAGCTTTATGTAATTGGGATGTTTTTTGTTTTCTGTAGAATTGCTAATTGCAATCTTTCTTGTTTTTGCAGCTGAATAATTTACCATATATCAATTTATAGAAATTTAGCCAGAAGGCAATCATGATTGCAATGTATGCATGCATGTTTATTCAACCCATTTACCATATATGTTTTAATTGTCTGAAAACATAGATCTATTCTCAAAAAGATAACTGTATTAATTTAATATTTTCTATTATATTTGTAACTTGTTATCAGTTTGCAAGCAGTTAGAATCAATTAGAATACTAGATTGTAATTGCTTATGGAAAAACCATTTGAACTTTTTCTTTTGTATATATATATATAAGAAAAAGGTCAAATGGTTCATATATATATATATAGAACATGTTTATAATATCTGTTAGTCTCCAAAAAAATAATATAGAAATTATGAATAGTAACAATATCTTTGGTTTCAATATATAGTAATCCCCATTGTATATTTATATATTAATTGATACACAAATACACAATTAGTCACAAATGCATAAATACATGTTTTATATATATACATACATACAGGGTGATTTGAAATACAGTAGAGCGTTGTTTATCCGAAAGCCGGTTAACCGAAAGCATTCTAGTCGGCAATTTAAATTTTCACTAGTGCTGTGGTGCTGCAATCTTTGGCTATATCTTGGGCTACTCCAATATTTTTTTTGTTGGTGTGTGTTTTAGCTGGCAGCACTGACACTTTTGTGTGGTGTTTTTCTGAGGACTATGTGTTGTGCTGAATCGAACGTTTTTGATACTAGATCAACTTCTAAAGTATATTTTTTTGTTTTTATATTTTTCAATATATTTATTTTGTTTGTAAAAAATAAAGAAATAATTTTTAACGATACAATAGCCACGATTATTATTTTAAAAAGTTTATGTTAGCCTTAACATCGATGAAAATTCAATGCAAAGTGACACGCAACGGAGAAAAATTTCAACATGGGATAGGTTAATATATTTTTTTGTACATAATTGGTTATCCAAAAAATAAGTTATCTGAACAACCTCAGTCCCCAATTGATTCGGATAAACGACGCTCTACTGTATACATGAACATGTATATTGTACATGTATATTTCAAATAATTTTGTGTGTGTGTGTTATCAAGCATATTTATTTTTTCAATATCCTTGAATCATAAGTGTTTATCAATTTCACATTCTAATTACCAATTGCATTTGTATAAAGTAAAATAGATGTAAATAAAAAAATCATTACTATGACTGCTACTTAACAAAAATGTATTTTTAATAACAGTCCCTTCTTATTGCTAAGAACATGGTTAGTCTTCAGCAGCTGGGTGGAGGAGATATTTTGTTAGATATGTGTTTGTCTTTACCTTCAATGCAACATTATGTTACACAGTTACATGAAGTATTATCTGGGAAAAATCTTTCAATTCCTACAACAGTAACTGAAGCATTGGTTGTAAGTGGAGGGTATGTATTTTTTTTTGTTTTCATGCTAATATATTAATTTTAAATAAATTTAAGATTAAATTTATATTTTATGTTCATAAAGTATAAATATGTGTATTTGTATATAGCACATTCTCTTTTTGTATAGGTATAAATCTGTAAAAAATGATATTTCAATTATTTGGCAAGCACTTAGTCTTCCTGTACTAGAGCCATTAATATCAGAAAGATTGAAGAAATTGATGAACATCACATTAAGTTGTTTATATGCATCAGTAACTGTTGCAGTATCATCAAGTATTTTAAGTGTTGTTGGAAATCCTCCTGCAAAAAATGCAGCAGTTTATAAAGATGATGAAAGTGAAAATTATGTTGGTAAAATTGTTGAAACAAGTGTAAGTTTTTCTATTAATTTTGAATTATTTAAGTATTAAGTAATATTAAATTCTTCTTTGTTAGCATTATTGATATATAATATCAATAATATTTTGTAATATTTGACATATGTCAAATATTACAAAACTTGAGTAGAACTTATAACTGAAATATAACTGAGTAAAACTACTAATGTTTACAAAATAAACTAATGTGGGTTTTTCCCCTTACTTTCTTCTTATAGTATTAAAAAACTACTAATTTTGTATTTGAAATTTAAGTGCAGGTACAATTTGTGTTATAGTACTTAATACTATTTTTTTAAATTTAGAATTATTCTATTGTTTTCAAACTGAGGTTTAATAGTATTTTATATTTTTTGAAAATAGCTAAAAAATTTAATTACCTGAGTAGTGCTAAAATCATAACTGTGGAGTTTAAAAAATTTTAGTTTAACAATTTTTTTAAACTTTAGTTGGAAATATATAATGCTGTAGCTGCTGCTATAAAGTCTTCAACAAGAGCAAGTGGACATGTAAGTTTTATAATGAAATTTAATAGTACATTTTTTAATCTTTATTTTTATTTGTATTATATTATATTAAGTTTAAAATATAAAATATTTTGGTATAATTAGATTTCTATTTGAAAATATCACAAATAAATATACACATGCAATACTTATTTTTTTATAGCCACTTCAAAATCTACACATGATTGGATCATGGTTGTTGCTAAGTGGTTTACAATATACAATTAACATAAATCCTGGAACTCTTATAGAAAAAGGGAAAGAACAATCTCGTGGAAAAGCAACACCTGACCAGACACCTGCAAAAGTTAAAGATCAAACAGCAGCAAAACAGTCAGCAATGAAAATGTAGGATTTATTAATTATAACTTACACTATTAATTTTATCAAAATAATTTTTTAAAATTATTTTTAGTCAGCAAGGTTTTGGAGTGCTTTCAGTGGCTCTGGCAAGCCATGCTTTATCATTGATAACATCATTATTAGAAGACTTGAGAGTTGAAACTGGTTCTGCATTAATTAATTCTCTTGTTGACTCACAGATACAGCATACAACTTTTATAATGACAGACATAACTGCACAACATACTGCTTGGCATAGAGTACACAAGCTTACCAACTCTATAAATATAACTAATTTATTGTTTAGCTTAGCTTCAGTTTGTTACAGAAAGGTAAGAATTATGAATGTCATATACTGTTCAAATTTATTTTAAATATTATTGAAGAATTGAGTAGCAGTGGAAAACAGCATATCTCACAAACTATGAAAACAAGTTATTAACAAATTTGGATGTGAGGTATTGCCAGTCTGTCTTCTACATAACTTTCATGATTCATTTGCATTTTCTGTGGATTGTACATTTACATTAATACTGTAAAATGTTACATATTAAAATACTGGTGAATTGAAACACAAATCCTCCTTTTTCTCATAAACTTCCTAATGTGAGATATGTCGGTGTTCCACCAAGTCCCTTGATTATTATTAGTGAGGTTGTGGCCAAAGTTTTCAACATGAAAATGTGAATGTCGGATGTTCAGCACTGCCCTCTCGTAAGCCTAGAAGTTTGACAATGGCATTTGGAATGTCAGTGGAATTATGCTTGACATTCCAAATGCCATTGTCAAACTTCTGGGCTTACAGGAAGGCAGTGCTGAACGTCCAACATTCACATTTTCGCGTTGAAAACTTTGGCCACAACCTCACTATTATAATTTTTTTTTGTTGTTTTAGGCTTGCATGTTAAAGAGAATACAAAAACATCCAGTTGATGGTGATGTTCTTAGTACTTCTGATTCTAATACATATTATGAAGATGATTTTAGTTCTTCTGAAGATAGTAGTGAAGAAGAAGGTACATTTGCTTGTAATAATTAGAACAAAAAAATGTAAACTTAATTTGGTAGTTTTTTAACTATTTAATAAAGTAGCATATATTAATTAGTTGATTATTAACATTAATTTTCTAAAATTGTTAGTGTTTTCCATATAATTGTGACTAATATCAAATATTTGAAAAATGTTGATTAACATGCTGATAATTAGAGATTGAAGTAAGTAATTAATTAGAGTAATAAACTTTCTTGAGAAGTCAGAGCACTAAATGATATGGTCTCTGTATTATTGTAATGAGAGTAAAATTTCTGCTGGCAGAATATGGCATTAGTTTTTGGAACTCAAATTGGCTTGTTTGTTACTGTTTGAGTTTGTATTCAAATACCTAGCACAAGTTTTTGGGAACAATTCAAAAGAAGCTGAATTTGCTTACTCTACAGTTGTCCTTGCTGGATAACTACCATACCTATAAACATATATTAGTGTATAGGGAAATGAAAACAAAATAGATACTCTTAGTACAAAAACATGAATTGACAAAATTTAATAACATCAAGTGCTTTTAGATTGTAAAATTTTCTTGCTTTCATAAAAAATTTTTGACTTGACTCTTAATTTCTAAAATTGTTTTTAAATTAACAACTACAATATCTCTATTGTTAATGTAAGTTGCTAATAAGAATTTTAATACTATGATATCATTGTAGAGGTTAGAGTGAAGTAAATGAAGAATAAAGTTTTGTTCATGTGTTGTTTGTGTGTGTATCTGTGTTTAAGAATTTTCTGACTGTGATGTATTTAATATGGTAGCATTTCTGTAGCGTAATGTATATGCTGTTGTGAAATCTTAATGTTTTCAGACTTTTGTGTAATGTATGTGTTATTATTATTACTAGTTCTCATCAGTACAGGTGAATTTCAAAGTGATAGTCAACAATATATATTTTATAGATGATGATAGTGAACCAATTCTTGGTCATTGGTTTGAAGAAACTTTAGCTCCACCAGAAACAACTTCTAATATCCCTGCATTACCAACAGTTTCTGAGAATGTTCCTGCATCAGGAAAATCTACACAACAACAAGTAATTGATAATGGGTCTCTTATTCCAGAAAAGGGAGAACCATATGGAGTAAGTTAGAGATTTATTTTATAAGTTTACCAACTACCTTTTTTATCATACTAATGTTTATAAAAAGCTTTATATATTTTATCTGACAATTTAATCAAAAAATTAAATTATTATTATTAGAATATGCCATTGTAATTAATTGCACAGTTTCTTTAATTGAATCAAAAACCAGAAATTGAACTAAATGGTGTGTGTGTATGTAGTTAAAGCATTTAGTTCAGTAGAATGTTTTGAAACATTACCAAGCATAAATTCTTTAGTAACTTAATATTGAATGGAATATTGCAGTTCAGAAATGTGTAATTGAATTTGTTAATTCAAAAGGGTCAAAGTCGACATTTTATCAATACCCACATTATAAGTGACTCCTTATGAGGATTTCAACACTTATTGAATTGTCCATGTGACCATTCACTTATCATCTGGTGGTAACAAAATCACGTAAACAAATTCCAGAAAAATTAGTTATTCTGTAGTTTAATAAAATTTTTTGAGCAACATCTAATTACACAACTTTATAACAGAAACCTCAACTACATTATTTTGCCATCAAATTATTAGGTAATTGTAATTTCTAAAGTAATTTATTTTTCTATTGAAAATAAGAATGAGACCCATAAACAAAATTTCTAATTATTTCATGTAAAGTGATTTTTTTAAGGGTACAATTGTATCTGTAAAATAATTGCAGTTTCTCTTTTTGTACAAGAAATATATTTATGTCAATATTGGCTCTATTGTTCTGTGATTACAAGTGAAAAGACAGGGAAATCTACAATGTATATGTTAGTGGTGCACTTGGGATTTAATCTTGGGGAATCCAGGTTAAACAAATAAAAATCTTTTTAAGGGCAATTCAATAAAATTCTCATTTTATGTGACTGCTAATTCATAAATAGTATAGACATAAAAGACACAATATAACATAAATAAAAAAAAGTGAATTTTAATTAGAAAAAGATTTTTGGAAAATTTTCTGGTGCTTTTTTTTTTTTTTTTTTCTTTTTCTTTGGAGGTGTCCAGGGTTCCTTGGACCCTCTCTGGGTGTGCCACTTATATGTAGCCAGAGCATGATAGATGCTAACTCAATGATAAGTGTTCTGGCCCTGGAATCAGAATAATACTGTGTATTTTACATGTTCAAACAAATTTTTTCAAGTTGGTCTCAGTGAAATAACAGTTTTCAATATGGGATCATAATTACTTTCCCTGTAACAGACTTTGCTGTCATTTAGAAAATCAGAAAAAGATGGGAAAAATTAGAAACTTGTATGGAATATTGTGAAAAATCATTTTGTGCAGTTGAACAAATGCTAATTTCTAAGGCTTTGACATACTTTTCTTGAAAAATAATGAAATTTTTTTCAAGGAAGAATGTTAGAATGAGGGAAAAGCTTTCAGGTTTCTAAGTATAAAATGTTACAGTATAATAAGCATTGTGAATATAAGATTAGAGCCAGCATGTTCATGATTGGATCAATTTAAACCAGCTTTCATTTATTGCAGAATAATGTGACACAAAACTTGAATGCTGCTAGATTCTATGATGCTAGAGTACCTGTTAAAGCTGTCAAAGTTCATTATATGATAAATACTTTAGTTTAATCTGAAAGTGCACAAGAGTACCTAAGTAATATATTAAGTAATGAAATTGTTAGTCATGACTCTTCAAATGGAGAGTAAGAAAAAAAAGGATATGATCCCTGGCTTGCCTCACAAATGCTGTACATGAAATTTTGTTTCAAAGTTGTTTGCATATGAAATGAAATTGGATATAAACTAAAGATTTAATAAAAATAGTTTAGTGTTTTGCAGTTTCTGAAAATTTAGATTCTTCAGACTTTGGTCCTTTTTGAATTGACGGCTTCATTTACAGAATGTGTAAAGTATAGTAAACAAGCTTGCAGAAATCAGATTTAATTTCTTAAGACTGTTTTTTTTTTATGATAGTTTATAACTCATAAAAGCATTATTTTTTGTTAAATGTAAAAGATTTCTATTTCAAATAAAAATTTAGTAATTAAATTTATTTATTTTATTTAGGTTAGAAAGTTTTTATTTGGATATCTGACTTGCAGAATAATTGAGAATGAAATTTTAAAACGAGATTTATATTGAATAAGATAAAATTTAGTAAAATTTTTCATGACAGTTCTGTTAGAAGTCTTATTAGTTCTAATGGACATTTATAGCTAAAATGTTTTAATTTTAACTAATTCTAACTTAAAAACATTTTTTTAAATATACGTACAGCTAATAAACCATTTTAATTAACGTTATCAAGTTATAAATGGTTATATTTAATAATGCACTACATTGTTATAATAATTATTATAAAATTTAATCAATTTTGTTTGAATGTTAAAAGTAATTTTGTTGTCTATTTAAAATAAATAGAATGAAAAGTATAATAATATTCATCAGTTAATAAAATATTTCAAAATACTTGATTTATTTATTGCATCTTCTTTTACAGTACATAAATCTTTCATCAAAAATTTTTGCCTTCATGAATAATTATCTTGTGAATTCAGACAACAATTGCATCAGAAATTATTTAAGGTATGTATGTAATGAATGTACTTGTAAAAACAAATTTTTCTAATGATTGAGCCCATTACTGAAAACATATTCAAATATTTGATATATTAAACTATTGATATTTACAAATAAATTTTAAATTTGATTTGGTTTATTTTTTATCATACAAAATTAATTAAAAAAAAATAGAATTTGTAAGCTCTTGGAAGATTTATAATTTGAAGTTCTGAGTTCAGCTTTGTTTCATTCTATTCCAATTGAGTAAGATGGTTATTTATATAAATTACATTTGTGTAAGTAATCTTGCAATATTATTGTAACCAAAATAAAGTAAATAAGTACATTATGTAGAGATGGTCAAAAACTGTCTGCAAATACTCTAATACTAGAAAGTATTCAAGATTCCAACTATTATGTTGATAAAAAAGTAAATTTGAATACTATAAATAACTCCAATAAAAGCAGATAATTTGTGAGCACAGTATCAATTGTTTTCCAATGAATAAATGTATTTATTACTAATGACTTGTGTGGAAAATTTTATTTTATAGTTTCTCTCCTTTTCTGTGCATACTTAAGTCAAGAAAATATGTACTTCCACAATTCTCTCTCATTAATTTGATGCTCACTTTTACTGAATTTTGATTAACAGAGTTCAGGAACTAATAAGTTCCTGAACTTTACCTTTTCTTTTCCAAATAATTATTAAATCATCTAAATACTGTAATATTAGCTTGATATCATGTAAATAGTATTTAACACCCTATCTTATCTTATCTTTTTTTATAGAAATAAATTTTAATGCTTTAAATGCCTCTAAGGAGCTATTAATAACATAACTAGCTTTACATTGTATGCTTGATAGTAACTTAGGTAATTACTTTTCTAGGCTTAGTTTAAGAATGTACAATTTTTCAGCCTTAAAGACCAATCTTTTTTATGAATTCTAACTATGCCAAACAATTCAGACATTGTTATTTTTGAAAATTATAAGAGTAGTGCATAACACAGCTAACCTTAGACAGTTGGAAGAATTAGAAATTTATAAGTTGTCATTGATAAACTTTAAAGATTGGTGATATGTTTTTTTTGTCCTTCTATTACAATAATTGAATATATGAGCACTCAGTTTTGGCTCTATGAAGGACTTATCACACACTATTGATGCAACAGGAGAAATTACAGAGATGGGTAAATAATGGTTATTAATTGTATAAAATAAAATGGTATGCATTTTGAATATTATCTGTTGTTCTTCACCTGTGCTTGTTACAAATTGTGAGTTTCAGACATCTAAAATACATACCGTCTATTTTATAAACAATAATAATAATTAAATTAATTTTAAAAAATTAATATATACATCAGGGGTTGCACTGCATAGGACCAAAATTGCCACTTGGCAATATTTTTATTAAGGTGGGGATAAAAATATAATACTAGCAATAACAAGTGGTGATAAAATCCTAGTCCACTTGTTTTGACATTCAGCATGAAATTGAATCACAAATCATACTTCAGGAAAAACTGCAAAATGTTGAGCCTCCATACAATAAGTGTCTTGTGCACCACACATCTAGCAATTCATGATGTCACACAGCAAGTTTGGGAAGAAAAGTAGGAAGTGACGTCAAGAATCAAAGATAGTTTTGTGTAATGTCGCCTAGCATTTTCAGATTGGGATTTTTTATTGACAGACAGAAATTTTGGGGAATTTTTTGGGATGACTTTTTCCACTTTGATCATTTTCCAATAGACAAAAACAAAACTTTTGATGTGACAGAACCTGTGAAATACTGTTTAAACATTGTAATCAAATGTGTTGTTCGGAATTATTCATTAAAAAATTATTCCTATTGCTAGCAAGGGGAGGGTCAAACATTTGGGTCTTCGATTCGAATGAAATTAGTGAGCATGTAGCCCTAACACAAACAGTTCATCATTCAAATAATAGGACCCACTTCTCAAGCATTTCCAAAAATTGGACCTCTGAAAATTTTAGTGTTTAAAATCTAAATCTTTGGAAGTTTCATAACTCAGATTGGCAGTAGCCAAGTGAATAAGACACTAAGCATGAGCTAGATGATGTAGGTTCAGAGTTTTGGTTTGGTTTAGTTAATTTTATGTGTAACTTTATTATTTTGCCACATCATCATTATTATTATTATTGTTATTCCTTATGTTTAAACCTTATAAAACAAGAGATTAAAATTTGTGACATCATTTTCTCTTTAGCGAAAACAAGCCTCTATAGATTTAATTCTTTTACATTGTTAAATAAAAATTTTATTTTCACATATTTTATGTACTAAGTCCTCACAAGTGAATAAGCTTCAGACGTTACTGCATGTGGATGAAAAAAACAAGTGATATGAAAATAGGGTAGCAAGTTGCAGCAGTTTATTTTTTTAATTGTTAATATTATGGACATTCATGTTTTATTAATTTTCTCATGTGCTCATGTTTGTTACACTTTGGACATCACAATACCACTATATCTAAAAATAAATATGAAGAAAATTTTATTTAATAACCTAAGAGTTAAATCTATAGTGTGTGTTTTCTGTAAACAGGAAATGATGTCACAATTTTTAATTTCTTGTTTCATAAGCTTAAATGTGAGGAAAAAATAATGTTACACATAAAAAAAAACTAAACCAAAATTTTGAAGAATCGAAATTCCAGTGCTTAGCATCTTATTCATGCAGCTATCATCACTGTTGGATATGGAACTTCTAAAGACATATGCTAAACACTAGATTTACAGAGGCCCATTTATTGGAAATGCTTGAAAATTGGGTTGTATTATTTGGAGAAGGAGACATGTTTAAGGCTAAGTGCTTACCAAGTTTAGCTCGAATCAGAGACCCAAAAGTCTGCCCTCTTTTTTGTAAATGACAGTTTAATATGTTATTTTTGCTTTCCAGATGCCAAACTAATAAGGCTACTGGCACCTGCATTAATTAGTAAGTAAAACTGGTGGCAAAAAAAATTTTAAACGCTAAATGTTGGCGATATTTTAAAATTTTCCAGAACAACCCTGATACATTGAACATATGCTGTTTGTTAACAAATGTGATAACTTTCCTTCTTTCAATAGAAGGAAGGTTATCATATTTGTAACCACTCTTTTTGTACTCATGTATTTTAGATGTGTGTAACTCAATTTGTATCAAGCATGGCTGAAGAGGGACAGGTAGACTGTCTGAAATGCATACTGTTTTTACAATAAATAACCAATGTTTATCCATCTATGTAATTTCTTCTGCTGTGTCAATTGTGTGTGATAAGTCCTTCATAGAGCCAAAATTCAGCATTCATGCATTCAAATTTTAAAGACATCAATATCTTTTTTTGCATTTGGTGGTCTCACTATAAAATACTGTTTTATAGCATTCTTACAGTTTTCATATAGGTTGTGATTTTGTGTGTATGTGTATGTGTGATTTTGTGTATGTAATGTTTTCTAGATTATATATAATTTGTAGGAAGGAATCTTAAATGGTATGATGATTCATATACAGTAGTATCTCAGGATATGAACGCTCCAGCATATGAAATTTTCAGGATACGACATGAAATACGAACATATTTTTGCTCCACAGTACGAACAAATACTCACCATACGATGTTACATTAGTGCACAGCGCCATTTTTTTATTCACTTCTGTTCATTGGTCTCAGTCCACGTGTTTGCTCCTTCATGGAAGGATCTCGCTCGATAAAGGAAATCTTGAGGTATTATCTTCTGATAATACCTCAAGATTTCCTTTATCGAGCGAGATCCTTCCATGACAAAGAAAGTGACTGATTTTATTGGAAAGAAACATCCTGAAAAGATTCACACTGGCTGTATTGCTGCTCAGAGTAATGGCATTTGCCTAAGTCATTTTAGAAACATTTTAAAAAATAGGCAAAGACAAACCTCTTTGGATAGATACTTTACCAAGTGACCTCTATCCAGTGAAAGTGCTGGTGGAAGTGAAGGAAAGAAAGCAAAAAGCAGTGAATAAAAAATTTAAAAAAAATATAAAACAGAAAAGTTAAAAAATTAGTGTTAAGTTATTTTTAAGCTATTGTTACATTATGTTATGTAAGTTAAGTTTTAGTATCATTTCCCTTCTCCCTCTCCTTCACCACCAGTTTACACCTCCACCGTTGTCTATCCTGAAAGGTAAAGTGCAAATAAAACTTCATTTTTTTTTAATCAATTATTATTCTATTATGGTTATTTACAACTACAAAATGCATTTTTCAGTGTTTTCCTTACTAAAGTTTTTTTTTTCAATGTACTACTTAGCTTTAATTTGAGTGTGGGGAAAAAATGATTCACCTTATGACATTTTCATGATACGATCTCAGTTTTGGAACGGATTAATCCTAAGGTACTACTGTAGTTCAAATTCAATCAATATAGAGAACATTCCATCTAGTTTGAGTGTAACTGTTGCATTGATTCTTTAATGTTAATTTAATTTTTATTAGTTATTAATGGAAAATTAGAATATAAAATTGTTATTCTTTGAAAGCCTGAAGAAGCCCATTAAAACCAGCAAAAAATATTTGTAATGAATAAATTATATGTTGGTTTCAAAGGTGTTTACATTATATTAAATTAAAATTTTAGTAAAATTAGATAAAAAAATAACAGTTATTAACTTTGAAGAACAGAACTCATGGATCTTGGTTGTCATTTAAATTTGTTATTTGTTACATTTTCTGTGTACTGTTTTCATACGAAGCACATCTGTGTTGTAAAATTTTCTAAATTTTAGTGATGAATTTAATGATGACATTTCAATGAAAATGGAATAAAATTATTTTTTAAATATTCATTTATGTTAAAATTTTTATTTGCTATAATAGATTTTCTGTTTATGTAATGTAATTTGTGATTTATATACTTTGATAGAAATAATTCAGTTCACTCAAAATCAGTTTCAGCTTTTGATAAATTTGTGTAATTGATTAAATTTAATTTAAAGAATGGTATAAGAATTCCTATCTCCAAAAATTTTTCACAAAATTAGTATAACTTATTTTTCTTATTTTATTTTTTTCAGAAAGTCAATGTTTTCCATGTATGGTTTTATTTAAAGGCATTGTTATTTTTACTAATATATTTGAAATTGTTTTTAATGCAAATATTTCATTATTCATTGAGAAAATACAATTTATTATATTACTAAAAGGTGTCTAAAATTATTTTAAATTATATTTTCACTATTTCCCCAGTTTTAATAGTTATAAATAAGTCAATACAGTAATCTTTGAACTGTTAATGTAGTATGCATAAGACATACATAATTTAGACAAATAAAACTAAAATAATATAAGTACAGAAGTGAATGAAACATTTTCTAAAATACCTAATTTTGTAATCTGCTTATTGAATAATGAAATTAGTTTTTGTATTTTCTGAATATTATTACATGTGTATATTTAAAGTCATGCTGATTGAATTTAAGTTTACAATGATTTAATCAATGTTTTTATTTAATTTCAGTTAACATAATTTAGTTATATTAATTCAAAAAATAAAATTCATTACATTAAATTCAAATTGTTTATAATTTAATTACAGATGTAGTCTGGGAGAATCCCAAATGATAGTTTTAGCTGGTATAATAAAAGACTTAGATAAAGAAACTTCTCGAACTGATACTGGTGAGCTAATTTGTTCTAAATTATAATTTTTAAGTTAATTATTTAAATTTAAAATTTTTAATTTATTTCTAATTATAATTTATCTTTCTATATGCAATATAATAATCATTCTTGAAGCAAATTAAATATACATAAAATGTAAATAATGTTACCTTAATAAATATAAGCAAGAAATATTTACTTCTTAATTGAAGTTTTTAGACTATTTACAAAAAATTTAAAATTTTTTTCGAGTCTATCTTTTTAAATCCTTTATACACCACCACAGAAGTAACAGTTTTTTAAAAATTTTGCTTTGAAGAAAAACTTCTAATGAAGAAAATACTTCTAAAACAAGGTAAAAATGGGTAGAAAAGTCCACAAAGTTAAAAAAGATCAAGTGCCAGCCTTTTCCTGTAGGTTCTGACACTTTTTACATTAAAACCATAATGAATTCTTCATACCATATTATTTTATCCTCTTTTAAACTGCTTCTGGCCCTCTAGTGGTAGTTACGAGAAATCCACACTATTTGCATATAGTTACAATTTTGTGATAACTCAGGATATATTCT